ACAGTATACTAAGTAATGGATCATGCCATAATATATACTTTAAATGTATGTGTAGGGCGATTAAACTAAAGCTTTTACACACTGATTGATATCAAAAATACTTCCGATAGTTTCCTATTATTTGACTGATTATTATATTCTATATCGTGATATATATTCTACTATTCTAATTTATAGAAAACACTATACTTTAAAGTTTTTTTGTTTATTTCTGAACAGATTGTAGCCTAAACATTCTTACATTTTCATGCTTCATGTGTTTGAGGAGCCGTAGCTCCCTGTAGGCCCTTTTTGCAAAAAGTTTGGACTGGAAGGGGCGGTGAAGCTTCTTGATGGCCACCTGTGTCCCCGTACGGCGGTCCCAAGCCGAACTAGAAAACAGAGACAACTATTTCAATCAATTTATGCTTCAATAAACTTTTACTAACATCAGTAATTCCTGTTGTTTTGCTGAGATAAAATGATAAAAAAAAGCACTTTGGTGATTTATGGCGAGGAGGGGATGCATCTGCACACAGCAAGCAGACAGTGAAACGTAGAAAGAAAATGCAAACCAGAAATAACATTTTCCAAAACATTCTAATAAAAAAAAATTTTGTGCATAACTTTGCTGCTTTTCATTTTTTTTTAAATATCTAGCAATATTTTTTTTACATTTTTCTCCTTTTTATACTATTTTTTTTAATTGCAGTTTTGCAACTGTGTGTAAAATTCATTTTTACAAATTAGATATTTAAAATGCCGTTTTCAAATTTTTGTTTTTTACATTACTACAATTTATTTTGATCTATGCAATTCATTAAATTCAATCTGAAAAGAGGAATTTCAACCTGGAGAGACTCAGAAAAAAAGCTGAAATTAGAAAAGTTTTATTAATTTCAATTTATTTATTCAGGTATCACATGAGGTTTGTTCATAATGCTTCCATCTAAGGAAAACCAGCTGATTGCATCGACTCATTGACTCACACTAAGCATGCTTGTAGCGACAGTGGAGAGGAAAAACTCCCTTTGAACAGGAAGAAACCTCCAGCAGAACCAGGCTCAGTGTGAGCGGCCATCTGCTGAGGCCCACTGGGGTTCAAGGAGACAGAAGCAGATAAAGACATAAATGAAATAAGTTCTTTAGCGCTCTGGCCCCGGCAGAAGATTTTGATGCCTTGAATCAACATTTGCATGGATGAGTCACCTAGTAACCACCCCTAAGAGTGTAATAAGCCAGAGGGGGAAGCGGACTGAGAGTGAGGGAGAAGACGGGGGGAGGCGGGTAAAACTTTGATTGCGTACAGGAGAGAGAAGCTAAGCTAGGAGCTAAATGAAGGATATCATGAAAGATGATTGGCTTAGGAGAAGTTCCGTCCCTCGAGATGATTGGCTGGAGCGTAACGAGGGGCATCAAAGGAAGGTCAGGTGAAGCTAATAACAGTCTTCCAGATTAAATTTACGGTTAAGCTTTATTTTGGAAAAAAAATAAATAAATAAATACATTTTAAAATGTGGAGATTTAAGAAAAATAATACAGTTTAAATTTGATTATATAAAATCTGTAAGTAAAACAGTGTTTTAATAAAAAAAACTTGAAAAAAACAACTGAAAAGTTAATTTGAAACTGATAAAACAGCAAAGTTACTCGTGATTAATGTGTTTCATAAATTTAAATTTCTTGATTTCTTTTTTTTTATCTCGTTTACAAAAATATGTTCTTTTCTTGCAACAATAATGAAACAAAATTCCCTCCATAGATTCGTTGCACTTAGCAAAGAGTCTTTGACTTCTCATAAACAATGATGGTGGAAGAGGGGCCCTTTGTTGACCCTCATCAACCCCTAAACAATGCAGAGGGGCCCCTGCAGAACCAGCAGGGGCCTTAAAATCAACAAAGCTGCTTGGTTTCATACAAAAACACAAACTAAAAAAGAAAAATAATGTTTAATGATGTTACTTTTATTTGTTTGCTGCTTTATTTAAAAATAAAGTTAAATGAACGTGTGAATGTAAACAGTAACGATCAGCTGCATTCTTTGTAATTTCCCGCAGAGCTGCTGCCTTTAACTCACCAAACGGTCCCATAGGCTCCGGTTCCGACCTGCTTCAGGTCCCGGTACCGCTCCGGTACCTCCCACACGGTTCTGTTGACCTCCTGCCGGTAGAAGCCGCTCCGGGAGCGCGCAGCTATCGCCATGAGCGGAACCTCATGAGAAGAAATGAAGGTTTGAAGGTGAGGAGCGCAGAGTTTGGATGGAGCTGCGCTGAATTCCTGCAGATGGAGCAGCTGACTGAACCCCCCACCCCGACAGGGGCCGCTCAGTCATTGTCTGCTGGGCCCCTGGGCGCCCCGGGCAGCCTATGGGTGTCTCCATGTGGGGGAGAAGCAGGAGAACATCTGCCCACCAACAAAACGCAGAGATTCTCTGACATCTGATCAAGATTCTCTCTCATTTCTCTTAGATCTGCTGAAAGGAAGGGATACTATAGAAAAGGATTAGGGCCACTGACAAAAAAAAAAAAAAAGTTAACTGATTTTAAGATTTTATTTCAGTTTAATATGACTTTTTTCTCGGAATTATGACTCTTTTCCTATGTTAAACTTAAATAAATTTTAAAAATCAGTTAAAAAATTTTTTTTTCCAGTGGCCCTAATCCTCTTTGTAGAATACTCTAGGTCAGAGGTCACCAGTTAAAAGTCATTAAAGTCAGAATAAAGAAAATCATCAACCAGTAAAGATCTGGAGACATTTTTACTTATAATCTGTTACTTTAAATAAAATTTAACTCTAAAAAATAAAATGAGGTATTTATGCTTCCATGTTATCCATTGGATTTTTTTTAAATATTACAAAAATTAAATTTTTCCATTTTAAAATCTGGTCTTCATCAGGGGGTTCGCGACCCCTAGGGGGCTACAGAGGTACTGCATGGGGGTCGCCAAAGTTTTGGTTGATTAAACTTTTAATTTATTCCCTCCTGCAATTTCTTCCACTAATTGAAATGTCTTTAAATCCACATTAAAGGAATAGTACACCCAAAACATGATTAGCCTTCATTTTCTACTCACCCCCATGCTGAACAACACTCTGGAGTACTTTTTGGATATCTCAAATGCATCTGGAGATCTGGGAGGCTTCTTGCTGTCTGCTGACATTCTAATAATGGAGGTCTATGGCGCCCGAGACAGAAAGGTCCATAAAAGTCCACAAAAACGTGTCAATATTCCTCCATACTGCTCGTCCAATGTATTCCAAGTGTCCTGAGTGGGTAGCGTCCAGAATTTACTGGAAACAAAGTCATTTAGAATGTTTTTAGAGCATAAACAGTAGTGTATAGGATTTCCTGAAAGCGCGCGCCAGCGCGTTCAGGACGCTACGGAAGCCGGCAGACCAAACCAGCGCATTCAGCTCGGCAAAGAACTCATGCTCTTCCTCAACACTGAAGTCCTCAGACATTTTTCTTTCGTTGTTTCTTTCTTTGCACAGGTAAACAGCACATTTCTTCTTCTACGCTTGCATTATCGGCAGAGCAGACGCTGAATGCGCACTTTCATCTGGTTTGGTCTGCCGGCTTCCGTAGCGTCGTGAGCGCGCATGTGCGCGCTTTCAGGAAATCCTATACACTACTGTTTATGCTCTAAAAACATTCTAAATGACTTCGTTTCGAGTAAATTGTGGACGCTACCCACTCAGGACACTTGGAATACATTGGACGAGCAGTATGGAGGGATATTGACACGTTTTTTGTGGACTTTTATGGACCTTTCTGCCTCGTCACCATAGACCTCCATTATTTGAATGTCAGCAGACAGCAAGAAGCCTCCCAGATCTCCAGATGCATTTGAGATATCAAAAAAGTACTCCAGAGTGTTGTTCAGCATGGGGGTGAGTAGAAAATGAAGGCTAATCATGTTTTGGGTGTACTATTCCTTTAACATGAATCCAACAGACTGTAGTAAACAGATAAATGGAGGCAGAAGATGTCTTTCAGTCATCAATGCTCACATTCAGCGACACACAGGAGCTCTTTCAAGCTGGACACCGTTTCATTCACAACACCTGTCCCATCAACCAGGAATCAGGAATACTTTAATAATCCCAGAGAGGGATTACTTTCCTGTAACTTTGTCTCAACCAAGAAGAATTTTAAATTTGTACAGTTAAGATCACATTTGTTTAATAATTCAGTCAGAATACATACAAAAATCACTGACAAAAAATAGAATGCCCCAAAATTTAGAAAAAAGAAAAAAACTTTTTTTATTGTGTTGAATCTCAAACTTCCACAATTCCCATTTGAGAAATTGAACAGTAATCATTGACAAACCGGAGAGCCGACCTTCCTTTCAATGATCTGAAACCCGTACAGCTCAATCACATGCTGACATGTTTTAAGAATCACCAATACCTTTTAACAAACATACAAACAGTTAACATTTACATTCAGTAAGTAGCTCCACAACAAATACAACATTAACATAAGCGCATTATGTGAGACCATTTTCATTTATCACGACAGGAAATTCTGTACTTTGCATCCAGTTTTATTGAATATCTTGCTCAAAATTAAAACAACAAGAAAAAAAAAGTTTAGGACTGTACTTGTAAACATATAATGTAAACTTCTTTTTCTGTTTTTTGGTACTCTTTGATGAGCGGATTTAGCCAAACAAAATAAAAATGCTAATTTTACCCAAGATTCCTACGATGGAGTATTAGGGCCAGGCTATAGATTTTTTTTCTCCTATTTCAAGAATAAAGTCGTAAAATTACGAGAAAAAAGTCACAACGAGAATAGTCATAAAATTACGAGAATAAAGTCGGAACATTGCGAGAAAAAAATCCCAGCAACAATAGTTACAAATTTACGAGAATAAAGTCGTAATATTAAGAGAATAAAGTTCTAAAATTACGAGAAACAAGTCTTATTTTATGACAAGAATCCCTTTCGTCCCTAAAATGAGGAATGTGGAGCATCATGTGAAGTTCTACTTTAGCATCGGTTTGACAAATCAGGAAATCTTTTAGCAGCAGCATCAAACTGGGCAGGATGTCAAAGTGGACTCTGGTTGCTGATTGGTTGAGCTGGTCGGCCGTCATCTGCTGGGCGGAGCTCCAAGCTTCGTAATATCACGACTGTATTCTTGTAATGTTACGACTGTATTCTCGTAATGTTATGACTTCATTCTCGTAATTTTACAACTTTATTCTCATAATTTTATGCTTATTCTGTCGCAACTATATTCTTGTAATTTTACGACTTTATTCTCGTAATGTTACGACTTCATTCTCTAAATAGTGAAAACAAAATCTCTAGCCTGGCCCTAATTCCTAATGCAGAAATGTAAACCAAAAGTTGCAATAATTTTAATACTTTTATATTATAACCGCTTTAAACACAGTGGGCTAGCAGCTTTAGGTGAAAAGGTAATTTAGGCAAACTGATTACCCTCCAACTGTTTGTTAAATTTGATGATAACCAAAGAGGTGAAAAAAAATTGTTTGAAACACAAAAAAGTACTTTGATGTTTTAAGAAAAAAACTGCAAATGTATTTTAATTTGCCTGGATTGTGATTAAAAAGGCAAATTATGAATTGGCGTGAAAACATCCCAGTTCACCAGGACAGTAAATTCAATATTTTGGATCCAGTTTTATTAGATAACTTTCTCAAAATGACAAAAATAAAATAAATTTAGGACTGTACTTGTAAACATATAATAACTTTTTTTTTTCTTGTGCTCGATTGGCAATGTGTAAGCGATTGCACTGGTGGCTTCAACCGGAGGTTTGGATCCACTTTTCCCCGAGGAAACGTTTGAGCTTCACACTGAGCAAGGGATTCATCTACACAACAGTCCGTTCAAGTACCCCAGGAAATCTGAGTGGCAGTCAGTCTTTCTCCGTTCATCTACAAGCAACTGCATTCTGGGTAACCCAGTCCGCCCTCCACAGTATGAGACAAACACCCAAACACCTTCCTCACCTACTGGAGTCTAAGAGTCAACCTAATCTCTCGAAACGTGAGTCTGCCAACCTTTTCTCCTCTTCAAGTTCGAGAATCAATTCTCCCACTGAACCTGAACTAACCGCAGTGTCTTCCCCTCACCTTTCAGTTCCGGTTGAGCAGTGTTCAGAGCAACACTGGGACTTCCACAAAACTTCTCAATAAACCTGTTAAACTTTTTCCCTTGTCTCTCTTGACTGGTTTATCTGCATGTGGGTCCGAGCTCTTGATAAAATAATGACAGATTAAAGCTTCTTTTAAATGACAGCCCAGAGTTTTTAAGGGTAACTAGTAGTTTGTCAAGGTGAAAAGATAATTATGATAATTTGGAAACATTGTGGTGCAAAACGTGGACATTTATGATGTCGTGGAAACAAAAGCAGCACCAGCATTTACGGCAGCACTCACAGGGTAACATTGTTTATAAAAAAAAAACGCACGTAATGAGCCGCATGTTTGTAAAGCAGTTGGGTGCAGGCTAGCTACATTAGCAGATAGCCTACTAAACTATCCAACTAAGACTAACTTGGTTACCTTATAGGCATAAAGAAAAGAATGACGAAAAGCTAGTTTGTCAGCTAACTAGCTACTATATAAATCTTATTTAGCCAGCTAGCAGGTAGCAAGTAGTAGCTCAGTTGCTACGTGCTAGCAACTGTTTTTTTGCAGGAACTTCATTATTTAAATCAATATCTATTGTTTTTAATAGTGTTTTTTTTCTGTTAGGGAACCTAAGATACTGTAATCTTCCACTTCTTTCCAAAACTTCAAGTGTTGCAGTTGAAAAAAAAAATAGACGACGATATGCTGTAATAATCTGCGCAACCTTTAAGTACATGCGACTTTTACACTTCAGTTAAGTGACTGCACCACATGATGATGGGCATAAATATTGGATTAAGTTAGGATGAGACACTAAAATAGAAAATGTCATTAACCCTATTTTGATTTCCTGGGAAATTAAAATATACCTGGGTAATTCTAACAGAGCTTTTATGGTTGCTATAACAACCAAACCAGCTGTTTTAAGAAACTCCAGACCTTTTCTCTTTTTGATAATTGAGTGACTCTGTAAATGAAATGACACTGTTACGAGATACTGAATAGACACCATTTGAGATTTGATGCTAACTGTAAACAACATTTAATATTAATCATTGCAAACGCCAAGAAGGGGGTTAAAGTGAGATTAAATGAAGGGTGGAGCGTTAGGGAGAGTAGCCAGAGATAGCAGGTAATCAACAATCAGCCATCAGCAGAATGTGCATATGAGAAGCACGGTTACAGTGTAAACACAGACCTGCAGCATCGCTCATGAGCTTTCTTATAACAGCAAAGTTGGTGTTTACATTTCCATAGAGAAGGAGCAGCGGTTTGTGTGCTGTTTGCCCACCTCTCATTTGGACAGAACAAGTTGAAAGTGAATCTTCCTTTGCAACTATGCCATACAGACAGTGGGAGGTTATAATACAGTACCAGATATAAGACACGACTGTTAAATGGTGATAAATCATGCTTCAGTATAATGCAGGCAGCCTTTAACCCTCCTGGGTCCCTTGGATTTTTTGCACTTGTTGGATTTTATTTTACTATATCTGTGGTTGTTTTAATGCAGATTGTATGAAGTCAGACTTGTGCAAAGTGTGCACACGTGTGATAAATGCTGAGACGAGCAGTTTTATTCAAAAGCCATACCAGGCTTATTTTGACATATATCTCACACCATATTTAATTTAATTAATTCCTTATTTTCTAAAATTCTTTTAAAATGGTTTTGACTCTTAATCCACCATTTTGCATGACTGGAATATGGAAAACGATGACGGTGAGGGCACCCGAGAGGGTTAAACATAAAGGCAGTATGAGAAAAGTGGATGGAACTGATGGGTGATGCTATGTGTCCCTGATGTTGCTTTGGAAATCCTAGTGTGCACATTTTTGTCTTCATCTTCTGTCTGTAAACATCCAGTTCTTCCTTCAGCCCCTTCAGGAGTCCGTTTGACACCGAAAAGTTCCTCATTTCTCCGACTGAAAGCAGAAATGTAACAGGAAGCAACTTTCTGCTCCGGATGTGTCCTTTTGATCCCAAACAGGCTCCATGTTTGTGCGTTAGATTAACTCCTAGAATACAATTCATTTCCTTTTGCTTTTTTTTTCATTAGTCCGTTTCCCATCCAGATAGTACGTACCTGGTTCCTCCCTGGCGAGGAACCAGGAGCAGGGAGGAGCAGGGAGGAGCCTACTGCTCCACCTGAAGGCTCTCCGTCTTGTTGCCAGATGCTTTAAAGCTGTTCACCTCTTCGAACACCAACTCTACAGAACAACACGGGCAGAAAGGGAAGAGAGACCATGTTAGCAAACAGTGATGGCCATTTTAGCTGCAGCACTTTACGCCATTTTAATTTGTTATATTTTATTACACTATTAAAATAACCTTCTCTGTATTTTAGGGGTTTTTAATGTGAAAAAAAGCCATTATTCTTGGGGTTCACCTTTCCACTCCTCTAGAGTTCGGTCCTTGCTCTCCAGTGTTTGGTCGTAAGGCGGGGCCTCTGGCTCGTCGTCTGGATCGTGGTACTGGGAGAAGTAAGGGTGGGACAGAGCCTCGCTGGCCGAGATCCTTTCATCACAGTCTAGAACCAGCATCCGCTTCAGCAGATCGATGGCTAACAGAGCAACAGAAACACAGAAATGAGAGGAGGAGGGTTTGAAAACGGCGCTTTAACCCTCCGGGAGGGACAGAGCAGCAATCAGACACTCATCCGTTTTCACATTTCTGAAAATGGTGCGTAATTAAATTTGCGGTGCATCACCAAGCGGGTTAGCTCCTCTGAAGATCTTTTCCATATCTTGTTGAGGCATGAAGGGAAGAGACTGGATGTACTTCTGGGCCTGCAAATAGAGACAGCCAGTGATGCATGGACTCCCCCCACTCCCACAAACCCACAACTCAATCAACAACGCTGTGAACGCAACGACCGATCGATCAGATCACTGGAAATAACACCAGAGCTTGTGTTTTCCCTTCTTACTCACATGCTCGGAGCAGATCTTTTTCAGCAGGTCTGGAGTCGGGGTGCCAACCACCTCCATGATTCTCTTCAGCTGGTCGATATCTGACAGCATGAGGAGTTAAAGCCAATCCAGCTGATCTGCAGAGATACGGATTTCCTCTGCTTCTGGTCTCAGAACCATCAAGCACATTTTACACTGCAAAAATAATCCAGAAATAAGTAAAAAAATTCTTAAATTAAGTATATTTACCCTTAATTTGAGCAGGTAAATAAGATGATCTGCCAATGGAATGAGTATTTTTACTCTTAAAATAAGACAGTTAGATAATATGCACTTGAAATAAGACAATAACATTGTTTTTTCTTATTTTAAAAGGAAATCGTCTTGTTCCATTGGCAAAGTGTCTCACTTACCTCCTCAATTCAAGGAAAAATGCACTTATTTTAAGAAATAAAATAACTAATTGAGATTTCTATTTTTTGCAGTGTATTAACAAATATTAACCTCAATAAATAAAAATAAATATTCCGTTTTAATCTGTCAGGTTTATATATTAACCAGAGTTGATTTAACCTCTAGAAACCCACCGTTTTAAAGCGTTTACAACTAATAACTCAGAATGCCTGAAAATAACACTGTTAAAATGTTTACCACTATAGATGTTAGACATCATATGAAAGATTAGATTCTCCACTATTCAACCACCAAGTTTATTTTATGGATATAGTGAGCACCAAAGCACAATTAATACAGATATAGCAGCATGTCAACATGTAAACATGACAAAGCAGCCACAACAAGCAAGCATGTCTTTATTACTGCTGTTCAAAAAAAGACTGATTATTTTCAAGAATAAAAAAAAAAAACTTAAAGTCATGTTTGGACTGATGCAGCTTGGGCTGTGATTTACTCGCCCAGTTTTCATGTATATATTCAGAATCAGGTGTTCCCAGGAGTTCTTGGCGCATAATGCGACGTTTAAGAAGCTAAAACGCCATTTATCCCTGTTGACAGGGCAGCACATAGCCGGCCTTATCAGAAATCTCCGCTTTGGCCGCAGGTTTTAAAAGTAATCGTTTTCTGGGATAAAAACAGGGTTTTGGTGTAAACTGCCAGGAATCCACACCTGCAGCTCGTTGCCTCATTACCTGTGGAGTGTTCTTAAGCTGCTGACTGCCACTACCTCGACGCCAGAGTGTTTGCCTAAACAGGGTACGCTTGCCAGGTTTAGTTTAGCAGAGTCTAACCTGAGTTTTTGTTTGCCAGTTTTGGGTACTCTAGCCAAGCTGAGTTTTGCTGAGTCAAACTGAGTTTTTGTTAACCTGAGTCTTAACTTTGTTTTTGTCTTTGCCTCTCGGCAGGAAGTCATCCTGCAAACTGGATTTGTTCGGACCTTCTCTCCCTGGAAGGATCAACTGAGCTTCTAACTGAGCAGGGGTTCCAAACAGGAAGTTTGGATCCACTTTCCCCAAGAGGTCGTTTGAGCTTCGCATCAAGCAAAGGTTTCATCTGCATCGCAGCCCGTTCAAGTACAGCAGGAAATCTGAGTGGCAGTCAGCTTCTCCGTTCACTCCAAACAGGAAGTTTGGATCCACTTTCCTCAAGAGGTCGTTTGAGCTTCACATCGAGCAAAGGTTTCATCTGCACGGCAGCCCGTTCAAGTACCGCAGGAAACCTGAGTGGAAGTCAGCTTTTCCGTTCACCTAGGAACAACCGCAGTCTGAGTAATCCCCGTCCGCCCAACACCAAACAAGACAATCACTGGAACATTCCACACAGACTGGATTCCATAAAGGACACCTTTTTCTGGAGAAGTGAGTCTGCAAACTATTCCTCCAATTTAAGCCTAAGAATCAAATTTCCCACTGAGCCTGAACTAACCGCAGTGTCTTCCCCTCACCTTCCAGTTCCGGTTTGACAGTGTGCTGAACAGCACTGGATTCATCACCATATTCTTGATAAACCTGTTAAACTTTTCCCGGGTCTCTCTGTTTGGTTTTCTGCATTTTGGGTCAGACCTTTAATTAAATCATGACATAAACTAGAGGCCAAATCGCTGGGAAATATCTGCGTTTTCCCTTCGTTTAAACAGGGCCTGAGGCAGCTGCTGCTGGGGATTCCCAGTGACAGCGCACCGCAGTATGTGGGGGTCTGAGCGGCTCCCACTGAGAAATAGGCCGTTTCTCACTATGCGTTCTTGAGCGTCCTCGTGTACTCGTGACACGTCATCAGCCTCAGCCCGAGTACCGTTCCAATTCTCGAAAACGCCAGATCGAGAATGCACCAAATCCCCGGATGTTGTTCTCGCCCCGCCCTCTTTATCCAGCATGCATCAGAGCAGACTTGTGCGTTCTTCAGACTGGCCGCTTCCCCAGAATGCCCCACGGCCCCAGCTTGATTCCAGACAGCGCTTACAGTGGTAAGTTAAACATTCCCTTTTCTGCTGCTGTTGTTCTTCAAAAGTACGTTTTGAAATTGTTTGAGGCGATAACATTATACATTGAAGCCTCCCTGTGTGGCCTGTTTACAGAGTTAGTGCGAAATAAATAAATAAAAGTCCGACGTTGAGCGGACCAGAGTGACCAGCAGACCTCCGAGGGTAACCGCAGCCAGGGCTAAATTTACCCCGTCTGTAGTGCACTTCTCTCGGTCTAGTTATGTGTGAAGTAGCGCTCGTACTGATGGCGGTTTTTTGCTTTAATTCGGCAAAACGTCCAATTTTTTTTGTTTTTTAAGCTTTAGAAATTAAAAAATATTGTTTTCAAAATGTTTTGTGTAGGGAATAAATAGTTTTGACTGTTAAAGAAATGCTAAAGAAAGTTGCATGTGAGAGTACGTACTCGCGTTCTCGTCTAGTCCGATCTTCCTGCGTTCTCGCCAAGAACGGACTTGACGAGAACGCGAGTACATACTCGCGTTCTTGTGAATTGAGAAACGGCCATAATCTTTGAAGGCAGGATGGTAATCTGGATGAACTGACTGCACAGACCATGTTTTCAGGAGGACTTTCTCACTTCAACATAGATTCTAACTACTTTTTACCCTCTGATCACAGCTAATATAGCAAAGCTGCTCTCTGGCATTGAACACAGGAGCAGCAGAAGCATCTGGACAAACTGGACGTCTGACCTTAATGCGGACAGGCATCAAAGAAGCCTACTTCATGTTGATAAACGGGTTATGCCTAATTTTTTTTTCTGATTCTGTGAAATCCTTTTCTGATATAAAATTTGTTGGATAATTTAAAAATATAAAAACAGAAATATTTGGCTGAATCATCTCATACAGACCAACATGACTGTACGACATTGGAACGAGCTCAAATTACAGCAGAAAGCTTTTATAGGAATCAGAAGCTCAAAGATCAGATGATATAATTATATTTAGCCCAGTTCTTCGCCTCTGAATAGTAGAATCCAGATAATTCAGCCTTTTGTCATTGCTCCTATTCACTCTACGTAGCTGCAGAGCTCCATGTCTGACAGATGTGGGATTGTAATGCAAATCTGGGAGAAATCTATGCAGCCCTGAGACGTGATGAGAAATTCCTGCAAAGCAGAGGAGAACGTTTGCAACCATGATGAAGGATACAGTCGGTCCCAGGAAACAAGACTTTTCCTTTCAGCAGCTCTCCCATAATGCAGCCCACAGACCAAATATCCACTGCAAGAGAAAGGAAACAGGTCGGATGAAGCAGCCTTTAATGATTTTTAGCTCCTAAACATCCACGGTTTGACAGCATCTCACCATTCTGGTTGTAATGCATCCAGTTCAGCATGATCTCTGGTGCTCGATACCAGCGAGTCGCCACGTATCCTGTCATTTCATCATCGGTCTGCCTGGCCAATCCAAAGTCAAGGATCTGATGGGATATAAAACCATTATTTAGAGTTAACAGAGGATCAACTAGAGCAGTGGTAACCAATTAAAAACCATCGGGGTCAGAATAAAGAAAATCATCAACCAGTAAAGGTCTGGAGACATTTTTAATTATAATCTGTTACTTTAAACAGAATTTAACACTGAAATAAAATGAGTTTTTTGTGCATCCATGTTATACATTGAATTTTTAAATAAAAATTATTAAAATTTCCATTTTAAAATCTCAGGTGTTTTTTGAAGTAGAGAACAACTATCGTTCAGTTTGTTTTATAGATAATTTCCTGATTCCCATATTTTCTCAAACCCCTGAACTGAGCGTTTGTTATTTTCTTTCTTTTTTCTGTCTTAATGTTGGCAGTGGGCTTTAGGCTGCCCTGCAAGGCTTTAAACCTGGGTTTAACCAGAGACTAAGCCATGGGAGAAATAACGTTGTTAGAGAGACAATGTGAGTAAAAACACTAATTTTTCTGTCCATTTATGTTTATTTTTTTACAATATGAACCCTCCTCCTTTACCCTGGTTGGGACCGGCAAAATGAACCATAAAGCGACACTATAGCGGAGTTAAAATTTGATATATATTTTTTTCAACTTTTTTCACTTGTGGTTCACTAAGGAGCCTACAAATTATTATATTATAGAGGAAAACACAATGGACAAGTTGATTAACTGCAAGGGCGTAGGTTTGATTTCAACTTTGGTAGGGACACTATTCTTCAGTTTCATTGGTCCTTTGCAAAAATATGCATGCTCTTTTTTATGCTGAATGTGAGCTTAAGGGCTCATTTTGTTTAAAGAGAACAGCAGCATTTCTTGCTACATTAATACAAATCTTATAAGCACTACATGCACTAGATGCTGTTTATCAATATGTAAAGCATAACTGGCTCTGATGAATGTGGAATTAGGACTTTTTCCACTTTGAAAAGGATTGCATTTAAATTTACCTGCAACTAAGACAGTGTCTGTTTAACCAAATATAGTCTATAATATGTGGATTTATCCTGTGTTTTCTTCTGAAGATAGAGAATTGTGCAGAGGTAAACAGAGGTAAAACCCACTCTTATTTTTTTTAATCTAATATGCTCTATCTGGATTATGCAACATAATACATTCAAGGGACAGCAAATAAATGTATTGTATTTACATGTGCACTGGAACTATAAGAGGAACTGACACTGAGCATTTAAAATATTAATATTAGAAGTTGTACATCTGGGCTGTAGTTACTCTAAGCTAATTTCATGTATTTTATCTATGGCTGAAACAATCATATTAACAAATTCTTTAAATAATCGTGAACTAATTTAGTAATTGATTAATCGTAAACTGGAGTATAGGGCCACTAAAATGTGCCTTTAGCCGACCGAGCGACCCACTTAGAGCAGGAATTATACCAAGATTGTAAAAAAATATGTAAACATTTAGCGTTTAAGAAGTAAAAAAAAAAAAAGTCTTTGTCTGTCAATATTCTCCATCCAGAACTCCTCCAAAGGAAACGTTTAAACGTTTCTGTTTCACCTGGTTTCATTTCATAAAAGATCTTCTTTAAGGAGCCTTTGGCTATCTGATTAAAAGATAAAATAAAAGAAATCCTAACGTTGTTAACTTACATTTCTCAAGTTCCACAAATCAAAAAACTCTCTCCTGCTTCTTTACAGAACTCCAGTCTGAAGCTTTCGCCTGTTTTAGCGTAGATAATATATTTTTTAATTCGGACTAGTTTCATAGCCCAATATTAATTTATTTTAGCGTCTTTTTTTTTTCGCACTCCAAGCACCAGCGCGCGCACATACAGACTAGAAAACACACAATCAGAAAGAGAGAAGCATAATCAGAGAGTTAAACCGCGCAGCACAGTTGATGCGCTGCTATGTGAAAGGGACAGGAAAGAGCAGGCAGCTGCAGCTACCAGGCAGAGAAGCTGCAGAGGAAAAGAAGCGGCTGCTGTATAGTAAATTATAAACATGTTGTTTACATCCAATTATTGGTAGGGACAAATAGGTCCGTCCAAAATTTTGGTAGGGACATGTCCCTATGGTCCCTATGCAAACCTACGCCCATGATTAACTGACTAATCAAACGCCGTTATTTATTACTTATTTACGTTTCAAATTCAGTTATTTATTTTAGACCAAATAACATTTTACATCCCGCTCGCTCCCGCCCTGAATGTAAGCCAGGGCGTGGCGGCACCGCGTGATCAACCCGCGCGCTTCATTTGCATTCTGGACGCTGTTAAGGTAAACACGCTTTGGCTCTGACTGCAGCGCTGAGAGCGAGGGGCTCCTGCGGAAGCGGGAGAACGGGGTTGAGACGTGGGAGGCGCCCCACGGCAGCACCTGTTGCTGGAGGACAAGAGTAGGAACGATACGTGCTTTTATGTAAGAGCCTCCAAAAGCCGCTAGTGACACCAGAAAAGTCGCTAGATTTGTAGCTAGTTGCTTTTTTGAAAAAGAGTCGCTGAAGGGCTCTGAAATGTCGCTAAATATAGCGACAAAGTCGCTGAGTTGGCAACACTGAGCTAGCAGCAGCAACCCAGACTGACAGCTCATTGGCTCATTTGGATCACGTGCAGCCTGGAGCCGGACGCTGCCCAGGGCTTTACCGTATTAACAGGAGAAGCGGTGCGAGTGAATTTAGACACTGTCATCGGACAAAATGCAGTACTTTATGAATGTTTTGAATCAGGTTGGGTCCAGATTAGCCAGCAGGTGGATCCGGATCGTGGTCTGCTAATCCGTGACCTCTGGACTAGAGGCTTTAACACTAAAGAAAAAGCTGATCTTACCCTTAGCTCACAGTCTTCATTCACTGCCACATTACTTGGCTTAAGGTCCTAGAAGAGACATAAAAGCACAAGAAGTAAGGAAATCTATGAGAGACAGAGAAGCAGTAAATCCTTGTATTCTGTAATAAGTACAATAAGGTGCTAAGAAGCTAATTTATATTAAAATAAAACCACAAACTTTATCTTGGGGATAGGGTTATAGGAAAAATTCGATTTGCTGATACATCGTAATTTTTGGCTGTCCGATACAATATCGATCTTTCAGTTCTTAGCATCGATTTAAGAAAAAAAAAATGTTTTATCTAAAATAATGAGGGGAAATGTGCTACCTCTGGCAGATGGCGCTGTAATTTATTGTAAGATGGTAGGAAAATACAACATGATTTCAAATTTTTTACGCAAATATAAACCTGAGAAGTGTGAAAAACATTTAATTTAGCACTGGAAAATATCTACGGTATTTTCAGGACTATAGAGACGCCTCAATATAAGCTGTGCCGGGCCATAAGCCGCGCCGGGCCATAAGCCAGGCTGGGCCATAAGCCACGCCGGGCAATAAGCCACGCCGGGCCATAAGCCAGGCTGGGCCATAAGCCACGCCGGGCAATAAGCCACGCCGGGCCATAAGCCGCGCCGGGCCATAAGCCAGGCTGGGCCATAAGCCGCGCCGGGCCATAAGCCACGGACCATAAGCCGTGCCGGACCATAAGCCAGGCTGGGCCATAAGCCGCGCTGGGCCATAAGCCCCGCCGGGCCATAAGCCGCGCCGGGCCATAAGCCAGGCTGGGCCATAAGCCGCGCCGGGCCATAAGCCACGCCGGGCCATAAGCCACGCCGGGCCATAAGCCAGGCTGGGCCATAAGCCAGGCTGGGCCATAAGCCAGGCCGGGCCATAAGCCGCGCCGGACCATAAGCCAGGCTGGGCCATAAGCCGCGCCGGGCCATGAGCCAGGCTGGGCCATAAGCAAGGCCGGGCCATAAGCCGCGCCGGACCATAAGCCGCGCCGGGCCATAAGCCGAGCCGGGCCATAAGCCAGGCTGTGCCATAAGCCGCGCCGGGCCATAAGCCACGCCGGACCATAAGCCTGGCTGGGCCATAAGCCGCGCAGGGCCATAAGCCAGGCTGGGCCATAAGCCGCGCCGGGCCATAAGCCAGGCCGGGCCATAAGCCACGCCGGGCCATAAGCCGCGCCGGGCCATAAGCCAGGCTGGGCCATAAGCCAGGCTGGGCCATAAGCCGCGCCGGACCATAAGCCAGGCTGGGCCATAAGCCGCGCTGGGCCATAAGCCAGGCTGGGCCATAAGCCGCGCCGGGCCATAAGCCAGGCTGGGCCATAAGCCGCGCCGGGCCATAAGCCAGGCCGGGCCATAAGCCGCGCCGGACCATAAGCCGCGCCGGGCCATAAGCCGCGCCGGGCCATAAGCCGCGCCGGGCCATAGGCCGCGCAGGGCCATAAGCTGCTGATATCTACTGAACTGTCTCCCTCCAAACCTGTAGGGGGAGCTCTACATTTAGCCCCTGGAGTAGGGAGGAAGAAGAATGCTAGCTCCCGTTAGCTTGTTAGCTTTGTTGGCTCTTTAATTCAACGCTATAGGAGTTGCCATCGGCTCTTAATTTCTGCTTTGCAGGAGTTGAGTCCAGTCTCTTCTTCGGTTCGGCAGCTTTAATGTGGCAAATAAACGTCAAAATTTGTGAATTCTCCGTCGTTCCTGCTTATTCTTTGTTTTCCAACTTTGACTTCCCTCTCTGGCGGTTATTAAAAATCCACAGAAAAGCCGCACCTTCTTATAAGCCTCATGGTTCAAAGCGTGGGAAAAAAGTAGCAGCTTATAGTCTGAAAAAAAAATGGTAATTAGTAATCAGATCTGTTTCCAACTATCTAATGTCATAAAGTAACCCATGGAAACCTGTATGTATTACTAAATGTAATCAGGCTGTTTCACATTAGACAATTACTCCGTGTCACTTTTTTTTTGTTTTTTTTGCCTCAGTTATTTAATTAAATCTACAACAATTCACCTCTGCATTTGTGTCCTCAAAACCTCAACCCAACCCTGACATTCCTAACTTAACACCAAACATTAACAAACCTTTGACCAAGAGACAGAAACATAAGAGAAATAGAAATGTCTCTGCACTGTACATAAAATATGTGAATTCATTTATTTTTTTGGTTCTTCTGCCAATAAAATTAAACTCAGACTTGAAGGTTTTTTGGAATAAAATTCACTCCATAGTTTAGACCCTTTCTTTGACTGATCCAGACGTGAACCAAGGATGCGGGTTAAACATCTGAATTGAAACAGAACAGAGAAATACGGAGACATCTTTTAAACTGGAGGACAGGTTTGGACCCTCGACCTACAGTCGGACCGACGGCGCCATGTTTCACATCCTCGAACATTCATCTGTTAAAATACCCCAATTAAAGTCAAGATCTATATCCAATCAGTTTTTAACTTTTTCTCCTTGGCTTCACAAATACACAGTATTTTATAAAGTCTTATAAAAATACACTAAGTGTGAAGAAGTTTTTACTTTTAGAAGTTTTTATCTTTTCTACTTCTCACCAAAGAGGCAAGAATGTGAAAGTTGTTACTCACTCTGTGGATCAATCCTGCTGAATGGATGTACTGTTCAGCCGGCGGTGGGGTGGGGCAGGAGGGCAAGGGGGGGAGCGGGGGAGGAGGAGAGGACATAAAAGAGACGGAGGTCAGAGATCAGTTCACCACATTAGTTCCTCCTTACAAGGAGGCTGCTTTTGTCTTCTCCATGGTAACCGGGCAGGTCGGATCGGCCAGCTGCCTCACCGAGCAGCTGGACCGGGCATAAACCCTCTCCGTGAACACCTCCGCTCAGACTGTACCTCACTGCTCATTAGAGGGATTATAATCCCTCTGTTCTCCATGCAGATATTTACCTTAAGGCCACGGAGCAGCTGGTAAATTAAAAACTGCACATGCTCGTCTGACAGCTTCTGAAACTTGACGATGTTGTTGAGGTCTGCACCCATCAAGTTGGTGACCAGATAACTGCAAAAAGAAAATAACAATGAATATGGGCAGGGGCAGGTTTAGGAAAGTTGAGGCCCTAAGCAAAGATGAGCAGGGGGCCCTCTGAATGGAGAAGACAACACATCAAACAGCCCCATTCTCCACATAGAGAAACGTTAATAGAATAGACATCCATTATCTGTTCTAGGTTTTGTCCCTCTCTTCTTGTCCCTTTTCTTCTTGTTTTCCTCTCTATGTTTTGTACTCAGCTGACTTTTCATGCTGTCTCTAAAGGAATGAAAGATTTTTTCCAAGCACTAAGCTCACTTAGCTGATTGCTCCTTCCTGTGTTTCCAAAAAGGCCAAAGTAAATAACCCAGTCCTTCTTTTCACTGTAGACAAGCCATGATCTGCTTATCTGTTCTCCATTTTTCATTTGGATGAAATAATAGCTGCATGAATCATGACAGCAGACAAGATAGAGGAGAGCAGGAGGCGGGGTTACCAATCTACTCGCTCTGGAGAGCAGAGTTCGCTGCTTTTAGATGTTGTCTCCAAAGTCTCCAGTAGCAGAAAAAAGTCTCTAGATTTGGCGCTAGGAGCTTTTTAGAAATCAAAGTGCTAGAGGGGTCTGAAAAGTGGCTAAATATAGCGACTAAAGCGCTAAGTTGGCAACACTGCTCTTTGCATGGTTTGTTTTCAAATGGTTTGCTGCTGTCTGTTTGGACCTTTCTGAACATGTGCAGCAAATGGACTGATCCAATATGGTGGACACTGAAGGGGGGGCTGAGACTTAATATTATAAACATTCTGATGGCATTTTAGCAAAAGGATTCTAATCAAAAACATAATTAATGTGCACAAATAAGGAATAGTTGTATTAACCATACATGGAAGCAGAGTTTTATGGGGCCCCCAGGAACTAGTATTGCCTAATGGTAAATCCCTTATGTGAATATGGTAGATGTAGGAGCATTAGTGATGCTGCCATGGCAACAATCAGAGATCTCTGCAGGCCTTTAATCCCCCTTAAGACCACCCAGCATCCCTCCCCATGAAGACAGCGTTATCCGTTTGTGGCTAGGAGGTGTAACACCTGTACAGCTTGTAATAAACACCAAGTAAAAAGAGATTTACAGTTCATTGAAGTCCTCTAATCTCCCCGCAGGCGTGAAGACGTCAAGCAGCCCTATAACCTGCAGAAAAACAGACGGCCGTAAGCAGAGCTGATGAGTGGGCGAGCTAAAGCACATAGACACACACATATGGGGTGTTTTGATATCCTTTTTTTTTAAAAGCACCACTCACATTCTCGTGTTTCATGTGCTTGAGAAGTCGGAGTTCCCGGTAGGAGCGGCGGCTGTGGATCAGCGACTGAAAGGGCCTGGAAAGCTTCTTCACTGCAACCTTTTGCCTCGAGACGACATCATAAGCCGAGCTGCGGGAGAGGAAAGATACGGAAAACTGTTAGTACATCATCATGTTTTGTTTTTGTTTGTTTGTGTTAAACCAGTTTTAGTCCGTGAGGCAGACACCCTATCTACTTTTAAGGCTAGGCTTAAAACTTTCCTTTTTGATAAAGCTTCTAGTTAGAGTGGCTCAGGTTATCCTGAGCTATCTCTATAGTTCTGCTGCTATAGGCTTAGACTGCTGGAGGACATAGGGACCCCTTTTTCATCATTCTGCTGTTTTCCAGTGTAGTCCTGTTTCTCTGACTGTGACTAACTGGATGTGCTCTCTTCATCCTCTGACATGGGACCTGGCTCGGAGCTCGTCTGCCTGGCTGTGTGTTTCCTGGACTATCTAGATTTCGATTTTTCCAGTGCAAATAATCTTCCTCAAGTTTTTTCCAGTGGAGAACAGAATTAAAGGCCGCATTAATCCTGTCAAGAGAAATGAGGTTTGCAGTGCTTTAGATGTTGAAATCTGTTCTTTTTGTGACCTCCTCGATGAGTGGTGATGTTGTTCTATTGTAGTTCTGCTAAGACAGCCAATACTGGGTTCAACATTTAATCTATTTATAGACAATGGCTCCTATTGGAGCTCTGAAGGCTGGGAAACAGGAAAACTGTTTAGAAAGTGATAGATATCAGCGGTGGACTTTGTTCTTTTCTTCTTGAATGTCTTCAGATTTTTTCAGGATGCGTCACTTTTTTTTATCTTTTCTATACTTTCTAACTTATGACTCTGAACTAAGTTTTCTACAACTTATTGGCAGTTAATTAATTAACCTTTATTTCACGTCTGTTTTGAATCGTTTATGCCCCCTAAAAAAAAAAAAAAGCATTCATCTGAAAACTGATTTAGTATTCATTCATGTCTTTATCTGAGAAAATGATCTTAACCAAAACGATTTTGAAACATAAAGAAAAAACAAAACTATCTGTTTGGCAATAAATGTGTTTTAACAGTAATGTCATGAGTCTACAGAGAATGCAAAGTTTCTTAAACCTGAAGTCTTAAACCTGAAATCCGCCGCTGCTGATTGCGTCTGTGTCTGATGATGGGAGACGGGCTGATAGAGGCACACATAGAAGGAGGGAGTGAAAGAGGATGTGGTGGAACTCATGAAAAGAGGACGTCACGTTTCTTTAAAGTGCTTCATTCAAAGCACCAGACAGTAAGCCCTGCTGCAGCCGGTGTTCTGTCAGACCAGCATACCCCGTCAGACCAGCACCAGACCAGCATCAGACCAGCATACCCCATCAGACCAGCATCAGACCAGCATACCCCGTCAGACCAGCATACCCCATCAGACCAGCATACCCCGTCAGACCAGCATCAGACCAGCATACCCCATCAGACCAGCATACCCCGTCAGACCAGCATCAGACCAGCATCAGACCAGCATACCCCATCAGACCAGCATACCCCGTCAGACCAGCATCAGACCAGCATCAGACCAGCATACCCCATCAGACCAGCATACCCCATCAGACCAGCATCAGACCAGCATCAGACCAGCATCAGACCAGCATACCCCGTCAGAGCAGCATCAGACCAGCATCAGACCAGCATACCCCGTCAGAGCAGCATACCCCGTCAGAGCAGCATCAGACCAGCATCAGACCAGCATACCCCATCAGAGCAGCATCAGACCAGCATCAGACCAGCATACCCCATCAGACCAGCATCAGACCAGCATACCCCGTCAGACCAGCATCAGACCAGCCTACCCCATCAGACCAGCACCAGACCAGCATACCCCATCAGACCAGCATACCCCATCAGACCAGCACCAGACCAGCACCAGACCAGCATCAGACCAGCATACCCCATCAGACCAGCACCAGACCAGCATCAGACCAGCATACCCCATCAGACCAGCATCAGACCAGCATACCCCGTCAGACCAGTATCAGACCAGCATCAGACCAGCATACCCCATCAGACCAGCACCAGACCAGCATCAGACCAGCATCAGACCAGCATACCCCATCAGACCAGCACCAGACCAGCATCAGACCAGCATCAGACCAGCATCAGACCAGCATACCCCATCAGACCAGCACCAGACCAGCATCAGACCAGCATACCCCATCAGACCAGCACCAGACCAGCATCAGACCAGCATACCCCATCAGACCAGCACCAGACCAGCATCAGACCAGCATCAGACCAGCATCAGACCAGCAAACCCCATCAGACCAGCACCAGACCAGCATCAGACCAGCATACCCCATCAGACCAGCATCAGACCAGCATACCCCATCAGACCAGCATCAGACCAGCATACCCCATCAGACCAGCATCAGACCAGCATCAGACCAGCATCAGACCAGCAAACCCCATCAGACCAGCACCAGACCAGCATCAGACCAGCATACCCCATCAGACCAGCATCAAACCAGCATACCCCATCAGACCAGCATCAGACCAGCATCAGACCAGCATCAGACCAGCATCAGACCAGCAGACCAGCATACCCCATCAGACCAGCATCAAACCAGCATACCCCATCAGACCAGCATCAGACCAGCATCAGACCAGCACCAGACCAGCATCAGACCAGCATACCCCATCAGACCAGCACCAGACCAGCATCAGACCAGCATACCCCATCAGACCAGCATCAAACCAGCATACCCCATCAGACCAGCATCAGACCAGCATCAGACCAGCATCAGACCAGCACCAGACCAGCATCAGACCAGCATACCCCATCAGACCAGCACCAGACCAGCATCAGACCAGCATACCCCATCAGACCAGCACCAGACCAGCATCAGACCAGCATACCCCATCAGACTAGCATCAGACCAGCAAACCCCATCAGACCAGCACCAGACCAGCATCAGACCAGCATACCCCATCAGACCAGCACCAGACCAGCATCAGACCAGCATACCCCATCAGACCAGCATCAGACCAGCATACCCCATCAGACCAGCATCAGACCAGCATCAGACCAGCAAACCCCATCAGACCAGCATCAAACCAGCATACCCCATCAGACCAGCATCAGACCAGCATCAGACCAGCATACCCCATCAGACCAGCACCAGACCAGCATCAGACCAGCATACCCCATCAGACCAGCATCAGACCAGCATACCCCATCAGACCAGCATCAGACCAGCATCAGACCAGCATCAGACCAGCATCAGACCAGCATCAGACCAGCAAACCCCATCAGACCAGCACCAGACCAGCATCAGACCAGCATACCCCATCAGACCAGCACCAGACCAGCATCAGACCAGCATACCCCATCAGACCAGCACCAGACCAGCATACCCCATCAGACCAGCATCAGACCAGCATACCCCATCAGACCAGCACCAGACCAGCATCAGACCAGCAAACCCCATCAGACCAGCACCAGACCAGCATCAGACCAGCATACCCCATCAGACCAGCACCAGACCAGCATCAGACCAGCATACCCCATCAGACCAGCACCAGACCAGCATCAGACCAGCATACCCCATCAGACCAGCACCAGACCAGCATCAGACCAGCATCAGACCAGCATCAGACCAGCAAACCCCATCAGACCAGCACCAGACCAGCATCAGACCAGCATCAAACCAGCATACCCCATCAGACCAGCATCAAACCAGCATACCCCATCAGACCAGCACCAGACCAGCATCAGACCAGCATAACCCATCAGACCAGCATCAGACCAGCATACCCCATCAGACCAGCATCAGACCAGCATACCCCATCAGACCAGCATACCCCATCAGACCAGCATCAGACCAGCATACCCCATCAGACCAGCATACCCCATCAGACCAGCATCAGACCAGCATACCCCATCAGACCAGCATCAGACCAGCATACCCCGTCAGACCAGCACCAGACCAGCATACCCCATCAGACCAGCATCAGACCAGCATACCCCATCAGACCAGCATCAGACCAGCATACCCCATCAGACCAGCACCAGACCAGCATCAGACCAGCATACCCCATCAGACCAGCATCAGACCAGCATACCCCGTCAGACCAGCATCAGACCAGCACCAGACCAGCATCAGACCAGCATACCCCATCAGACCAGCACCAGACCAGCATCAGACCAGCATACCCCATCAGACCAGCACCAGACCAGCATCAGACCAGCATACCCCATCAGACCAGCATCAGACCAGCATCAGACCAGCATACCCCATCAGACCAGCATCAGACCAGCATACCCTGTCAGACCAGCATCAGACCAGCATCAGACCAGCATCAGACCAGCATACCCAGTCAGACCAGCATCAGACCAGCATCAGACCAGCATACCCATAGTCAGTATGCATGCTCAAGACATCAGATTTGCGTTTATCTCTTTAGTTTTGTACGGAAAAAACTATTTAAGGTCAGATCGCCATAACCAGTGGCGGTTTTAGACCAAATGTACCAGGGGGCCAGGGGGGAGCCAGGAGGGGGCCAGGAGGGAGCCAGGAGGGGGCCAGGAGGGGGCCAGGAGGGAGCCAGGAGGGGGCCAGGAGGGGGCCAGGAGGGAGCCAGGAGGGAGCCAGGAGGGGGCCAGGAGGGGGCCAGGAGGGAGCCAGGAGGGAGCCAGGAGGGGGCCAGGAGGGAGCCAGGAGGGGGCCAGAGGGGAGCCAGGAGGGAGCCAGGAGGGGGCCAGGAGGGGGCCAGGAGGGGGCCAGGAGGGGGCCAGAGGGGAGCCAGGAGGGAGCCAGGAGGGGGCCAGGAGGGGGCCAGGAGGGAGCCAGGAGGGGGCCAGGAGGGAGCCAGGAGGGAGCCAGGAGGGAGCCAGGAGGGGGCCAGGAGGGAGCCAGGAGGGGGCCAGAGGGGAGCCAGGAGGGAGCCAGGAGGGAGCCAGGAGGGGGCCAGGAGGGGGCCAGGAGGGAGCCAGGAGGGGGCCAGGAGGGAGCCAGGAGGGGGCCAGGAGGGGGCCAGGAGGGAGCCAGGAGGGGGCCAGAGGGGAGCCAGGAGGGAGCCAGGAGGGAGCCAGGAGGGAGCCAGGAGGGGGCCAGG